AAAAAAATAGAAACAACTCGGGTGCTTTTTTTGAAAAATCATATAAATGTTGCCTCCTTAGTGATTTTTTGAAAACTGTTTTATCCCTGCACTTGACAAGGCTCAGAAGGTGAAAGAGAGGCTGGCACAGAACCAGAGCTGCCCTGAACTTTGCACACAAGCCCTTAGGATGCTCCTGAGCACAGGGTACAGGAAAACACAGTGGTGAACGAGCCAGGTTTTACATTTGACATTTCTGTGCCATCGTAAACAGAATTTGTTTGAAATGCAAGGGAAATTATTTTAGAAACAGATGGAAGGGTGTGAGAGGTACAGGGTTTTTTATGCCTTGCAGTCTTCCAGACAGCCAAGGTTTTTTTTAGGAAGATGGGACTGGAGGCAGATTTCATTATTTGATCTTCTATTTCTTCCTGAAACATCCCAGTTTTCAAGATGAGTTAAAAAAAGAGTGAAATATCTTGTAATTCTTGATTTAATGGCTGTATCATTTTCTTTCTCGTTTTCTTTCTTTTATTTACCTGCTGTAGAAATGAAAAACAGAGAAAGTGGTAAATTAGGACAATTTTGTACAAGAATCTTTTGTTGTTATGCTTTTTTTTTTATTTTAGTGGTGTCATTTTTATCTAAAAACGCAGTGAACTTGAGGATTCATTCTGAGAGAAAGCTGCAAAACTGTAATTGCATTTTAGATCACCATTCAAAGTGGTATGCATCACTTTGGTTCTTTGGCCCAGTGTTATTTCATAAATGTGAGGGGTTTTTTTCAGCAGTGTTAAAGCAAACCAAAGCATGCTACACATGGAATTACTAAGTGCAGTGTTTGAAACAGTAGTTCAGCCTCTGAATTTCAGGTTTTATTTCAGCCTGGTTAGGTTTTCATTTCATTTCTCATTCCACACTGTGGGTGACAGAAGGTTATGTCACTTAGAGTTTGACTTAAAATGAAACAAAAATAAATAAAATTGGGATGAATCTCTTCTGTTGTAACAGAGATTTTCATTGCAAGGTCCTATTATCTAAACTAATACAGAATTTGGGGGCTTAATGGAAAATCTATTTGTGGAGCTAAGCTTTAGCAATTTCTGAGCACATTTTTATCTCAACAGTTTTTTTTTCTTTTTTTCTTCTAGGGAATCCATTTTTTTTTTACTGAATTATTAAATCAGATGTCTCTATTTCTTTTAGGTGATCAAGTATTCCAGCACAACTGTGTGCAGTGTGTGCTGTTGCTGTTCTGTGTCATTTGGGGCATTTAGGTTACATCTCTATCAGTAAATACAGAAACAGGCCAAGGCCTTTAGGGAAAATGGCTCAGAATAGACTTTGGTTGTAGAACTAAAAAAAAAAAAAAAAAAAAAAAAAAAAACATTTCTATCCTCATGGCTGCTGACAGCAGTTTCCAGTGCATGCTGCCCATCTGAGCCATTGGAGTATTTGGCACGTGCCAAAATCAGGTCAGGAATTTTGCTGGTAGTAACATTAATGATGGAGCTGCAGAAGCTCATGCCCTTGCCTGTTAATTTACTAAAAAAATCTCCAGTCTCAGGCTTTGAGGATAAATTTCTTTTGCAAAACAAGAAACAAGAAAAAAAAAGGCTGAAATATATTTTTTTTTTCTCCTCCCCTTTATATATGCCATATCCTAGCTTTTGGGGAATATTAATTGGAGGCCCATGTCTTCTATATTCTTTGATTTAACTTTCTTCAGCTGATTACACTAAGATAAAAAGTGGTGGAATATGAAGGAATTGGAGGCAGAAAAAGAGGAAAATGTGAATGAGACTGACAACCATTAATATAAAGTTTTCTTTCCTGCATTGTGTGCTATGCAAGTGTAGAAATGATGGGAAAAAACAGAGAGATTTTCTTTAATATTTGTCAAAAATCAGTATTTAATATTTAGATCAGCTCTTTCAGGCATCCTGTTGCTATTATTTAGTAGTCAAGGATAATAACAATAGTAGTAATTTGTTGTTATTATTCTAACTACATTAATTATAATTTGTCTGGAAATAAGGATCAGACAAAAGAGTAATCAAGCTCCACATTAAGATAATATTTCCACTCTCTGGAGAAAGCTCTAAAACAAAAAAAAAGACCAGATGAGTGTAGTGCTTTCATTATATTAGCTATTTTGGGGTTTAACTTCCATTCTGTGCTTCATTTCAGTGCTTTGTGGCTCCAGCTCTGAACGTTGCTCTCTTGACCTTGGAATTATTGGGAGATTTTCCTGAGGACAGAAAGGAGTGGAGTGAAGGATCAGCCATGGCACATTTTGGGAGGATGCCCTTCTCACACAGTGAATTTTGGGAGGGGCAGCCTGGGCCCCAAGCAGCTCATCGTGGTTCTGATGGAAGGATCCCCCTGGGATTTGATCCAATAATTGATGAAGTCAACAACGAATTCATTTTTTACGGTTCATCCCACCCACATCCTCACGAAGAAATGTTTTTCCCATCAGATTTTTCCACGAGGAATGTGCCTGGCCATCACCTCCACGGTCACCCTGTGGTGTCCCATGGAGAGCTTTTCCCTGGCAATCCAGGCACAGTTCTGGGCTCCAGATCTCCTCCAGTGCCTGCCTGCGTGCTGGATTCCCAGCAGGGACAGCTCCACGGCAGGCAGAGTGCAAATTCAGCTCCCAGTGTGGAAAGGAGCAGCACAAATCTGGAGTTTCAGATAGGCTTTGACAGTCTGGGTGCTCCAAATCCTGTTTTCTTAGACAATGATCCATTTGGACAAAAAGTGAGAGAAGAAAGTGGGAATGGGGAAGTTTTTTTAACCAACAATTCCAGAAGATGCAGCATAGGTCCTACCCATCCCCAGGGCTCTGGACATAACACAGAGGTATTTAAACCTTCTTATATTAACAGTGTTTAAAGGTTTTTGTTCTGGTTTGTGTCCTTGTACTTTGTGTATTCACTCACACTGTTGCAACATGGATTAGAAGCACTTAATTTAAAGACCTTATGAAAAATTAAACATTTATGCCTCAGGGGAAGCAAAAGAATTTTATACCAGAAGAGAATCCGGATTATGGTCCAGAATGCTCCAGTAGGCTCATTTTATGGCTCACTGAAGCATAAAACTACCAGAGAAGGATAAGTACAGAAATGTAGAGTAAGTTGTGTTTGAAAGATAAGATAACAAATCTTTATTGTCTGATATGAAAGCTGAGACTCGAAATAACAATACATTCTGTTGAATCTGGTGGGAGTTTTTTGGGTTTTGTTTGTTTGTTTGTTTTTTGGGTTTTGGGGGGATTTTTTGGGGGTTTTTTGTTGAGACAGATTACTGTCTCTGTGTCTAGTCTGGCTGACACATCCTGATCCTGAGAGATGAAGCATAGCCTGTCCTACCTTCCCCATGTTCTGCATGCACTTCTGTGTGCATACATAATTATTTTCTAAAAATAGACCCATCTACTCTTAACTGTGAAGCTGGATCCTCTGACACACACTCTGGCTTTTAGCTGTCTGACTGAGGCAAACCCTTTCTCTTTTTTCCCTCCTCCATCAGGTGTTCATAGCTCTATTTTGCCATTTTTAATAACCATGTCTTATGGGGCTCCCATGACTCTCTCTCTGTGATGTTATATCTGTCCTCATTTTCTTTCTTTCCAAATCCTGATACGGAGAAGGGAAAAGAAAATGATAAATCCTGCCTTTCCTCCAGTCCTTGTTAGCATTCTGAATCACTGTAGGAATCCTGAAATAGCCTACAGGATCCCTCTGCACCATGAATATTAAAAGACAGTTTAGGTTCACCTCCTGCCTTTAACTCCCAGTGATCACAGTATCACACAGCAAAGGGGAAGAGACACTTGATTGACTTGTTTCTGTGTCTCTGAATAAGAAGAACTATAAAAGTAAACATATGCAGGCCCAGACAGATGGGAAGGCAGCGGGGGGGGAAATGTATCTGAGGACAAGAACTCTTAAAACCAATCCTGTGCGCTGCATTTTGGAATTTCGGTGCCGAATACAAAAGAGGAGGGGAAGAATAGGTGGGGAGACAAAAGGCTGTTGTTGCTTTTTACTCGTGATAGGAAAACTAAAGCATGCTGACATGATGATAAAAAGAACAAGCCTTCTCAGGAGAAAAGCAGAAAATAGTGGGATACAAATGAGCAGGAGGAGATTGAAATCCTAGGATGGGTAGAGAGAAGAGGTGCTGGAGGAAGCAAGCATTTCAAACCAGGCACAAATGCTTCTGTGAGGGAGGAGGAGAGAATTATAGGGGAGGGAAGAGAAGAGCTGAGTGAGTCAAGGGCAACTACAATCGAATGTGTGGGAGGATTTGATTAAGTCAGGGAAGTATTTGAGCTGTTTAGCTTGAAGAGGAAGAAATGGGAGAGAGGAGTGAATTGATTTGTAGCATAAAATTCACTGTGGTCACAGGAATTCCTTCAGGGAGAAAAAGCCATGTCAGGACAGAAAGAGAGCCAAGGGAAGGGGCTGGCAGCTGAACCCTGAGATGATAAGGGAAAATAAGAGTGAAAGAAACTCTTAGAGAGAGGGAAGAGCAGAAAAAAAAACAAACAAAAAAAACCTATAAAGCAGTTACTGCTGCTGGGCTGGGATTTTTGGAGAAGACAAGGGCTGGGGTGACAGACCTGATGCTGAGTGGGACAATCAGAAGGGCTGGAAAAGTGGAACACCACAGCAAAAGAATGAGAACAGGCTGGGTTTGACAGGTCCAGAACAAGTAAATAATGCAGCCAGGTAGCAGGAGATGGGAACCAAGACTTGAGAGTGACATACAAAGGGTGCTGAGACACAGAGATTGGAACTGGAATGGGCCATAGGTGGGCAAGGGGAAATAAATATTCACACTGCTGAAATCATAATGGCATTCTGATCCATTCTTGGCTGCAGTTGTATGGCCTTAGGCTTTATTTAATGTCTGCTAATCAAAATATGTCCAATGTAATAAAGGAAACATTATTTTTTTCTGGCCTTTTCATTACAGGTCAGATGTTCAAAAATGGTAAAGGTAACTATCTTCACAGCATCCTACTGAAAGGAGATGTTCTTTTTTTCCATATTAGAAAGAAAACTGAAATAAAACCTAAAAAGTATCTAATATATTTAGCTACTCCATCTGTGATATTTAGGATGTAATTTTAGATTCCAATGTTTTCAGAGTAACTAACAAGACTCATATCTTCACCCAAGTCCCATCAGCACACCAAACATCCTGATTGTGTTTTGGGTGCTCCAGAAATGAGAAATACACTATTCTACATATTCTTCATATTGTTCATATTTGGAAGGATGGTTTAGGTGACTTGATTAACATAATGTGAGAAGTCTTTGGATGAAAAAAGATTGCAGACATCAAGGGATGCATTCAGTTGCTTCATTCCTGTTGTCATTATTTCTCTCCATAGGCACTTCTGTCTCATTCACTGCTTTCCTTTAACATCTTTGCAGTGCAGGGAAACTCAATTCCTATTGGAAAATAATGTGCAATAATGTGATCATGTAATTAACATTTTGCCTTGATATGCAAGAAGAAGAAGAAGAAGAAGAAAGTAAAGTTTCTGGAAACTGTGTGAAAAGAAGACATGAACAAACTAAACCTCTCACCCCTGTGATTCATTGATGGAGCTGGAGCTCTTTCTCTCCTTTATGCACCTCTGCCACCAGAATGGATCAGAGTGACTTAGCAATGGTGTTTTCCAGATGTGTAGGCTATTACTGGGCTGCACAGGATTCCTGTTTGCCATTAGGAATCACTCAGAGGTGCTGCCAGCAAAGATGAAAAAATAGCAGAGGGTTCCTGTGTCACTCCTGTGTCCTGCAGGAGAGGATCCAGGTTGCAGCTTTGGGCTCTCAGGCTCCTCTTTTCCATAATTTAGTAATTATATAATCATATTTTTCATGCCACGAGGATGTGGGGATTCATTCCCAGGTCTTTGTGGCAAATCATGCATTCCAATTCTTGTCCTTCTTCCTGCTCAATTCCTCTCTGTTTCTCCTTTCTTAGTTTGCACTTGTGATTTTGCTCTTTTAATACCTTCAGTCCCATTTAAGATCATGGCCCAGCCTCACCTTTTCTTATCCTAATTTTCTTAGTTTTCACTTATTTCTCTTTTTCCATGTACAGTTTCCAGGGTACTGTACCTGCTCTTCAAGGACAGAGCTGCAGGTGAAAAAGGAGCCTTTGCTTGGTTTTGTAGTTTTTTTTTTGTTTGTTTTTTGTTTTTTTTTTAATGAATAGGTAATTGTAGGAGGTTGTTATTGTTACCAAATCACTCATAATTTCTAAATAGTGAACATTCCCCCAGAAGTTTTTATTACTGTCTGAGGAAACAAATTGTAAGGTAGGTGCCTAAACAAAATAGAAAGGATGAACCAGTGGAGGTGTTGTATTTTCACTGGATTTTGAACTTCTTCAGCAGTTCTTAGAACCAGGGAATGATGGACTAATAGTTTCAATTGCTAAATTTCATTTTACTCTCCTATTATTTACACCCTCAGAATTATCCATTGTTTTTTTCCCACCAGGCAATTTCAATTTTCCCCTCTATTGATGATTCCCCCTTAGTAGCTTTAAATTTCATATGCACTCTGCTAATGCTTTATGTGGAATTGTGGATAATGTAAATACCACATACCATCAGTTTTGGGTCTCATTGTATTGACATAAGGTTTCTGACTTTTGAGCTTTCAGTTCTGCCATAGTGATTTCCCCACCAGCCAGCTCCCAGCAGATCTCTCCTCTTTTATAATCATCCTGCCTTTTAAACTTTAAATAAAATTTCCCACCCTGCATCTTTTAATGCACTTTCTTGGCCAGCCAAAAAGAACCCTAAGTTCTGTTTATTAGCTATTTTTAAATACATTTCCACGCTTTTATATAAATTATTATTCAAATTCTAAAATAAACCTTTTGCTACGTCTCAGTCTCTTTTTCTGTGACATTTCCCTTCTCTTTCTGGAGGGGTTTAAAAGCTCTTCCACAGTTAAGCCTTGTAATGTCTCCACCTACAAGAGCAGACAGGGCTTGCAGATGTAATAGCATTAAATTCTTTCCTGGAGGGGATGTTGTGGCTGAAGAGAGCTCCAGACAAACAGGCAGAGGGATTTTTGACCCCCCAGCAGTGGCTCAGACCTCTGCTCTCCGAATTCACAAAAATATGTGTGGATTTTTCGTGTTCTGTAGAGTCCCCTGGTGCCCTCCTCTCTGTCCCAGGGCAGCTTTGTGGAGCTTGAGGGGATGCTGAGCTTCCTGCCAGGGCAGAAAGGGAGAAAATAAGGATTGAAACACACTGGGGCATGAGATTCAGTTTATCCTTCTCCCTTTTGTAAACTAAATATCTGCATTTGGAGTGATAACTTGTGTGCCTTGATAGCAGGTGAAGTGGGAAAGCTTTGTCTGAAATTCCTCATGTTCTGCATGGAGAGGAAAAGCAGCTCCTACCCAGGGCTGCTGCTTTGTGATTTCTGAAAGCATTTAGAGTGCAGCCAGAACGGGTCATTTGTGTCCCTTTGGAGCAGCCAGAACGGGTCATTTGTGTCCCTTTGGAGCAGCCAGAACGGGTCATTTGTGTCCCTTTGGAGCAGCCAGAACGGGTCATTTGTGTCACTTTGGAGCAGCCAGAACGGGTCATTTGTGTCCCTTTGGAACTCCATCACGTCAGGGCAGGAGCCATAGGCTCTCATGGAACTCAATTCAAGTTTAGTCTCATGGTCTTTCTGATATGTAAATAACTCAGCTCTGTTTATTCCGGGGTCTTTTTGGTGTTTTTAGGCTGCAGGTTGGTCAATCCAGCTGGTTGAAGCAGATCGAGGAAGTAATGAAAACATTGCTGGTTTTTGCAAGGCAGTGGAGAAGTAAGTGATGAAAAAGCTTTTTTTTTTTTTTTTTTTTTTTTTTTTTTGCCAACTATCACATTTCACTCACATGAATTGGACTGGTTGTCCCTGTGTGTTGGGGCTGGCTGGGATGGAGTTAATTGCTGTGCTGTGCTCATTATTGTGACATTTGTCTGCAGCCCTTCTTCCTGGAAAGGGGCTGGACATTGCCTGCTGATCAGAAATCGAGAATATTTTATCTTCCCTTAACTAATGGGTGGCTTTTGCTTTTGTTGAACTGCCTTTACCTTGACCCAGTAGGGTTTTTCTCCCATTTTTTCTGCCCCTGTACTGAAGAGGAAGGGAGTGGAAGAGCAGCTTGGTGGGCACCTGGGGCCAGCCAGCCCCATCAGCATCCCATAGCTAACTCCACTTCTAATTGTGATTTAAATATTAAAAACCGCTAAGGAACATTAATTCAAAAAACTATTTTCTCTACTGTCTGCTTTATTAGTGATAAGTACATTTAACTCTTCACTGTTGATGGCTTATAGTGTGTGACACTTGCCATCCTTTTTCTGTCATTGTCCTGGACAATATTTAGTGCCTGTGCAACTCTGATCAGGAAAATAAGAGCTGGAGGAACTGATTGGGGACAGAATTGCTGCACACTGTCATGATGAAAAGTGAGACTTAGCAAGTGACAAAACCTGCTTTAATGACACTTTACATTCACACTTAATAGCCTGACTTAATGGGATAGAACATTCTTTACTTTCTTAATCTTCTGCAGAAAAATTAATTGTGTTGAGATCCAAGCACACAAAAATTTACAAGTATTTAGACCATCTGTGCAGATTGATTTTTCTTTTGTAGATATTCACTGATCACACTTTAAGTTGTCAGCACAAATGCAAGCTTTTCCTTTCTGGAAAGTAGCTGGAAAATGGAATCCTGATTTTGTCATTAGACTTTAATGAATTGATTTTATTCAAGGTCAGCCAAGGCTTCTTCTCTTAAAAGAAAAAAAACCCAAAACAACCCAACCAAAAAAAACCCAGTTTGATGTTGCACTGAAATTAAGGGAGAGTATATGATATATTGAAATGGGGTGAGCAGCTTCCAAACATGCTCAGTGCAATGGCTCAGTTTCCTTTTCCATCAGCCTGAACCCCAACCCAATTCTACCATGAGATAGATGCATGAAGACACATTCCACATGGCTGCTTTCCTCCCAGCTATTCAGATTTTTTTAATGTCTAAATATTCTAATTATAGGGAAAGCTTCATATTGATTTTTGAATAGATGAGTTTATTTACAAGGCTAAAAAGAAAAAATATGAATAAGTCATTCTTGTCTTGCAGAAACTTGCTTTTTGTGTGTGTATGTCATGAACTAATATTCTTAGGAAGAAAATAAGAACAGCTTTTGCTTTGCTTCTATTAAATAAGCAGAGAAACATTTTTAGGACTGCCACCAAAAGACCAAAAAAATGTCATAAATTTTCAAATAACTTACATATTCAGTCTTTCCAAATGAGCATCCTCCCAGTCCCCAGTGACTCAGTTGCTGGCAGTTTCAGGTGTCACAGGCAGGCTGTGTCATTCAGATTCTCTCATGCATTCCTGCAGCTCCAGCTCGTAGCTCAAACAGAAACCCACTGTGTTTTTCTCCAGGTAATTCTTGCACAGTCTCTAATTGAAGAATTTGGTTTTACACCAGTGTAAATCAGTCTCCAAAACACTTTCTCAGGTTGTGCTGTGACCATGAGCAGAGCTGTAGTGAGCAGCCACCCCTGGGTGGTTTCAGAGCACATCCTACAGAGAATTTCAGGCCAGCAGGGGCCAGGCTGGCAGACTCAGGGCTCAGTGCTGCAAAATGCAGAGTTCCTCCACTTCGTGTGTGCCACGATGTGCCTTGCACTGCACAGAAACTCATCATGCCACGAGATGCTGTGAAATAGCAAATCCCCATAAATGTCAGTGCTTTCTGTACACACTGAGTTGTTGCAGCACCAAAAGCGAGTAGCACAAGGTTTTATTTGTGTAATGTTTGTACAGTAATTCAGTTATGCTTTGGAAGACCCAAACTCTCCAAGTTTTGCAGTTTTGCCCTCCTGCTCAGGCCAGAAGCTCTTTAATCACATGAGAAGAGTAGATGACCGTAAATAAGCAACACTCTGAGGAACTGAATGTTTTTTTTAATCTGAAAAGCAAATCTGTGTCCCCACATTTTGCTAAAACACAAGCAGTGCAGGGGTAGGGAAGGAGAAGGGGTTTGTTTAGTTTTGGAATGACTGCCAGTGAGCTGAGGAGGATTCATGGGCTGGTGATTGGAGGCTGCATAAAGGGCAGTGAAGTTTCATCTCATTCAGTCCTTGCCTTTCTTGCAGAAACAGGTGAAAAGCTGTGCCCTGTGCACAAAGCAAATAGGCTGACACCAAGCAGCCAGGGCAGCCAAGCAGCCTGTGCAGTGTAAGGGCTCCTGGGCAGGAGCATAAACCCACCTGGTGCTGCAGCTACTCCTGTCAAGCCTCGTTTCCTCTCACCCCACTGAAACATCGAGCCCCTGGCTTTGCATGATAAGAAATGAGCTGCTTTGTTGGGTTATTAATTTTGGAAGCCTAGGCTCTCTATTTTTTAATTTTTTTTTTTTATTTTTTTTCCTTCTCATGTTGTACAAATGCAGGGCACAAAGGTGCAGCTCACGTGGCTTTTTAAGTGACTTGGGCAGCAGCTCTGAGGCTGGAGGTAACAGAGTCATGAAAACTTGGATGTGAGAGACCTGGGGTTCAAAATACACTCAGCAGAGACATTACAAAGCACTCCCAGCTCAGAAGCTACAAAATACTTCATGTGATGAAAAAGAAAATGCAG